ACAGGGGATCAGATGAGGACTGCAGGGAGATGGCGTGGAATCCAGGCCAAGGTCTGTGGCAGCATGGTGGCCCAAGCGTGCCCTGCAGTCTCTCGCTTGCCATTGGGAGCATCAGCCTAACCAAGAACGCAGTAAACAAAACTCCTTCCTGCTTCAGGGGCTCAAAAGATTTTGCACAAGAAATTTGGCTAAACTCCATCCTTCTACCCATAAATGTAAAAGGAGTCCCAGTGTTTATATGATATTTTTATTAAATTGCTGAAGAATTTTTGAGGTCAGCAATTAAGTAACCACAGCTTCTGTCCTAAGCTTTGCCTCCTTCCTGATAAGACTCTAGACGTGTCCATTACAATATTACCACTTCCGTAGAAGTTCCAAATATTCACATTCTAAGAATCTCTTCCTGCAACTGTTAGATTGTTGCAAAGGACATTGGTGAAAACTCCCACCATCATCATCATATTGTGATTATCGGTAGTTATGTTTCGAGGTCGCAGTAATAATAGCTAACACATATGGACCACTTGCTAGGCACATTTCAAACATGGTCTAATTTATTTCTGTGATGGCACCATGAGGCAATCTCACAGCAGCCACTCCACAGCTGAGAAACCTGCAGGTCACGTGGCTCGGCCGAGGTTCAAACCCAAGCCCGTAGTTGAATCCACCTCTAGTTGAATCCAGGGTGCAATATTTCTGCTACTGACACCAATTAAGGGCTGAGAGCATATCAGAACCTGACACTACCCTTTTGTGTGCTTCCATTAGAATCGAAAAGACGGGGAAACGTCCTGAGTGTGGCTTTGTCTGGCTGGACGTCCACAGCTGCTAATGGGGTTTCCACATAACCTTCACCGCCCTGGGCTCCCTGGAAAGAACATCCTAAGGTAACGAGTCAGGCAACGTTTCACCACTTTTTTGTAGTTCCATCTCTATAATGAATATTGTTCCCTTAAATTATACTTAAATGCTAGCTCATTAATCAAATGAACAAGGATAAACGTAACTACAGGTCACGGATGATTAACGCAAGCAAGAATTTCTATCACAAGAATGCAAATATTCCAAATAGAATAAAAGTGCCTGAATCACCCTCCCAGTGTACACCTCCAACGTTGCCACTGAGAGTCCAGAGATGAACTGTTACAGGAGATAAAGTCGTCAGTGAATATGGAATGTAAATGAAATACAAAGAGACTTGTCGCTGAAAGGCTAGCAAGAATGATAATCAGGGAGTGAACTGAGTCACCCCCTCAAGTTCTAGGAAAGCAAAACCTTGTCCACCTTATAATTTTGCTAAAATTTTCATTTTTTTCCTATGTAATGTTCTTCTCAATAAAGATGATTCATTATATGTATAATTACTAATGAGTTAATATCTTTATATTTTTAAGACTTTTTACACAAATTCATAAATAAGAAAATCTCTTTTGTCAGATCCTACAGGCTGGTGGTGGTTTAGAAAAGTGCTCATCATCCTGTCCAATCTGCCTCTAGCCCAGGGGTTTCCAGCCCAGGCGGTTTTGCCCACAGGGGACAGCGGGCAATGTCTGGAAAGAGTTTTGTTTGTCACACAGGAGGGAAAGTCGTGTTACTGGCATCTGGTGGGTGGAAGCCAGGGGTGCTGCTCAACATCCTACAGTGAACAAGGCAGCCCCACAACAAAGAGCTATCCGACCCCAAACATCACTGTTGAAGCCCTGGTTTGTGGGCACTCAGACTTCTGGAATTACTGAAGTAGCTCCGTGCTCTCCCCTCCTAACCCTCCCCATGCTGCTGTGGGGCAGACATGCATCCATCTCCCATTTTCTCCCCTAGGTTGCCTCTTCCCACCGGCCTGAATCCCCTAGGACACTCCTAAGAGCTAGAGCCTCTAGAATTCCCAGGACACTTACCCCTGAGGCTTTCTGTGCAACATCTGAGTTTCTACTGAATGTGTATCATTTTTGCACCATTATAAAGTAAAAAAATCGTAAGTCAAACCATTTTAAGTCAGGGACCATCCGTAAACATTTCCTTATCAGTATTCCTTTAAATGTAAAAGGATTAAACTCTCTAATTAAAAGGAAGAGAATGTTAAACCATCCCTGCATACCTGGAATAAATCCCACTTGATCATGGTATATAATCTTTTTAACATATTGTTGTATGCGAAGATCAAATACCGTATGATTTCCTTCATTAAGTAGTAGATAATAACAACAATAAACAAACACATAGGGACAGAGATTGGATTGGTGGTTACCAGAGGGGAAGGGGGGAGGGAGGAGGGTGAAAGGGATAATTCGGTACATGTGTGTGGTGATGGATTGTAATTAGTATTTTGGTGGTGAACATGATGTAATCTATGCAGAAATAGAAGTACAATGATGTACACCTGAAATTTTTACAATGTCATAAACCAATGTTGCTTCAATAAACAAAAAATTAAAAAAAAAAAGGCAGAGAGTGGCAGAATGGATTAGAAAAAACACATAGTCCAAAATATGCTGTTGTCAGTGGATTTTAGATCAAAAGACAAAATAAGTTGAAACTGAAAGGTTGGAAAAAGCTATCCATGCAAATATTAACCAAAAGAATGCTGGCATGGCTATACTAATATTAGATAAAATAGCTTTAAGTAAAAAATTGTTATGAGATTGTATATTGATTAAAGGGTCAATCCATCAAGAAGATATAACAATTATAAACATTTATGCATCTAATAATAGAGCCACAAAAATGGACAGAATTGAAGGCAGAATGGATGGTCTTAAAATAATAATCAGAGCCATCAATACCTAATTTTTAATAATGAATAGACCATCTATACACAAAGTCAATTAGGAAATAAAGAGCTGGAACAAGACTATAACCAGCTAGACCCAACAGACACATATAGAGCACTCCTCCACCCAACAGCAGCAGATACACATTCCTCTCAAATGGACATGAAACATTCACCAGGGTAGGCCATATGTTGGGCCACAAGTCAAGTCTGAATAAACTTTAAAAGACTGAAATCATAGGAAGTATCAACTCTGACTACAGTGGAATGAAGCAAGAAATAAATAACAGAAAGAAAACTGGAAAATTCACAAATACAACACACTCATAAACAACCAATGGGTCAAAGAAGAAATCACAAGGAAAATTAGAAAATACTTTGAGATGAATGAAAATGATAACACAACATACCAAAACTTATGGATTGAAGCAAAAGAGGTGTTTAGAGGAAAATTCACAGTGGCAAATGCTTACATTGAGAAAGGAGAAATATCTCCAGTCAGTAACCTAAATTTACACCTTAAGAAACTAGAAAAAGAAGAATAAACTAGATCTGAAACTAGTGGAAGAAAGGAAATAATAAAGATTAGAATGGAAGTAGAGGAAACATAGAATAAAAAATGATACAGAGCATAATGACAATAAAAGTTTATTCTTTGAAAAGGTCAACAAAATTCACAATTAGCTAGATTGACCAAAAAAAAAAAAAAAGAAAGAAAGAAAGAAAACCAGCAAAGACTCAAACTGCTAAAGTCAGAAATGAAAGTAGAGACATTACTACCAAACTTACAGAAACAAAGGGGAATATAAGTGAATACCACGAACACGCAGCCAACACATTAGGTAATTTAGATGAAATGAACAGATTTCTAGAAACACACAACTACCAAAACTGCCTCAATAAGAAATAGAAATTCTGAACAGACCTATAAAAAGTAAACAGAAAGAATCAGTAAACAAAACTCTCTGAACAAAGGAAAGCCTAGCACCAGCTGTCTTCACTTCAGTAACAGAATGAAGGAAAACCAAAACGGGGCATGATCTTCTCAACGGATGCAGAGAAAGCATTTGACAAAATCCAACAGACTCGTACACTCAGCAAACCAGGAAAAGGAAGGAACTCTCCTCAACACGATAAAGGGCATTTATGAAAACCCACAGCCAACAGATTCAAGGGCGAAAAACTGAAAGTCTTCCACTAAGATGGGGAGGGAGACAGGGAGGCCCTCTCCGCTATGTCTCTTCAACACTGTAAGGGCAGTGCTAGCCAGAACCACTGGGCAAAAAAAAGAAACAAAAGGCATCCAGATCAGAAAGGATGAAGTAAAACTGTCTGTATTCACAGAGACATGATCTTCTATACAGAAAATGCTACAGAATCCACAAAAATCTATTAAAGCTAATAAAAGAATTCAGGAAAGTTGAGGGCACAAGATCAACACACAAAAATCCGTTGCATTTCTATGTGCCAGCAATGAACAATCCCAAAGGAAATAAGGAAACAATTCCCTTCACAAGCACATAAAAACTTACTTCACCTGAGCACCTGAGCCCCGAGTCCTGGCCGTGTCCACACTGGTGCCCGGGTCCCAAGGGCAGGGGGACAGCAGGGACTTGTCCACCCAGTGGAAGGCCTCCATCCACACAAGCCCAGAGCCCCGGCCGAAGCAGACGTCCCTGGACTGACACAGGCACTCTGCACTGTGGCTCCTGGCTCACCACGTAGGCCGTAGCCTGGTGCAGGTCAGCGTCACAGACTGGGCCCCAGGTCAGGCCATGCCTCACCTCCAGGCACCTGCCTGGCACAAGGGTGCTCGCTGCCCACCACTCAGGCCTCAGTGTGTCCTGGGAGCAGACACTGGACTGAGCAGCCCCTCAGGGGCAGAGCAGGCACTTCGCAGGCCTCTGGGCAAAGTGGCCTGACTGGCCCGGCCTCCAGTCCCACAGGGAGCCAGGATGCAGGAGGACCAGGACCACCTGGCCTGGCACAGCCCAAGGGACCTGGAAGTGGACACTGGGAGTCCTGGGAGCCTGCAGGCTGGGAGGACCCTCCAGTCCCCCGGCATCTCCTTCAGTTCCTAGCCTCCTCTGACAGAAAATGACAGAAAATGCTCCTTCCCTGCCCCCTCAGGCCACGAGACTGGGGGGTAGATAAGCACCTCAGCCCTGTACCCCTAGTGTCACTGACCAGGTGCCTCCAGAAACTCAAAGGTAGGCTTGGAAGCAATTAACTGTTGTTCCAAGTTGTTTCTTTTCCTTTTGTCTGTTAAGGAGATGTAACCACCAGCAGTCCTGAAACTGACCAAGCCTCCCACAAGAGCTATGCTCATGACCTTTGCCTTATTTTTGATGCAAAGATCTCTCCAGGAGGAGCTTAAGCCTCATTATGTGGAAGCGTGTTCTCCAACTGAGCCTGTGCAAGTGAATATCCGCCTCTCCCTTTTGAATATTCATTCCCCAACCAAATAAAAGTTCCTGCTTCCCTTTGTTTGGGGACACCATGACTCTGGAAATGATTCCTCATGATCTCCTATTTGCTGCAAATACACTTTACTTGGTGAGACAACTTCCACTGGTGTAGAGTCTTATTTAACTCACAAGGAGGCAAGCCCACTTGGTTCGGTAACACGAGGGCCTAGGGACCCCACACCTGTATCCTTGCCCCCACCCCCAGGCTTGGACTCCATGCCTGGCTGGTCACTTTAATAGCCTGGTCAGGTCTAAACCCCAGTGCCTAGCCGCACCCCAGCCAGTGCAATCAAAGCCTGCAGGTGAAGCTGGCGTAGGAGAGGGTCATCTCCCCAGGGGACTCTGGGCCACGAGAGAGGCAGAGTGCTAGGGGGGCTCCCAGCCACTCTCCCTCCCGGGGTGGGGCTGCACACTGGCCGCGAGGTGGGTGGACGAACTGTCCTGCTCTCCTCCAGGCCGTGGACCGGGCTGTGAGTGGATGCCTCCGCCTCAGACATCCCTGGGCTGTTTCCACCTGAACACACACCTGGGTATCTGTCGGGCGGTCACGCAGGTCCCAGAAGTTCAGGTTGAACCTGCAGTTGAAGATACTGGGCTCTGTTCCCAGGTAGGTCAGGACCTTACGCCCCTGGCCCCTATGGCCCCGGTGGGGGAGGGGTCTGGACACCTGGAGCACCTGGCCGCACCCCTGCGAAAGATACTGGCCTCCGCCACGTGCCAGCCACACTTCAGGACGGAGCTTCCCATCAGTTGGATTGCAGGGGCCCCACACAAGTGCTGCCTCTTCCGCTCCGCCCCGTGGTTGCCAGCTTCCCACCTGCTCACAGCACAGCACCTCACGCCTCCTCACCTGAGCCCCGCCAGGGCACGGACTCCACTGAGCACACAGGGGACCGAGGGGATGGCCTTTGGCGGGGACAGAACCGGCGGGTGGTCCACAGAGAGGCCTTTCCTTCCCGCCCAGGACCCTGGAGGAGGATAGGGGGCGAGCAGCTGCAACCCACTCTTCCTGCCACTCTCCCACAGTACTTTGATCAAAACCCTTGGAAATGCACATGCGCTGTGGCCAGCAGTCATAAAGCATGCATGCCCCTCTCTGTGAGGATGGCGTCCTTGAAAAGCAGCCAACGTCAGGCGAGGAATAAATAAGTGAAGGAAGACACGCACGAAGGAACGCCAGGTGGCCATGTAAGGTGGGAAACACAGGAGACAGAACCTGCACCCAATGCATTACTGTAAATCGTGCTCATATCTGCGTATCTGTGCAAAAAATGTTCTCAATGATATTCATTTCTGAGTGACAGAATAAGTGTTTTTCATTTTCCTTCTTGGCTTTATGAGTTTTTAAATTTACAATAATGTCTATTATTTTGGAAGCGGGCTAAGATCAATAAAGGCTTGCCAGAGAACCAGGTTCAGAGAGGGCAGCCTGGGTTTTCGGACCAGGATGCAGGGGACAAGGAGACTCTGGAGGGCTTTCCAGAGAAGGCAGGAGGCCCCGTCACAGCAGGACCTCTGACAGGAGCTCCCGCACCTCCCAAACCGCGGCCTGTGCCCTGACCCACACTCCCAGACGGGGTCTCAGGGGCCGGGGCCTGCAGCCACCTCAGCTGGGTCGCCCAGTGCACTTCCCCGGAAGATGCCTAGTCAAAACCCCCCGAGTGGACTGAGAGGGTCGGACGCCATGGGGAAAGCTGGGCACCCAGCCCTCAGGGGGTGCGGCCCAGATGTCCGGGGCAGGTGGAGGGAGAACCGTGCAGGGAAAGGGCAGGTGCAGAAGAAGCCCTGCATCCTTCCCCTACGTGCCTACCCTCCCTGACTGCTGGGCTGACATCCTTACCCTGCCCCGGGGTGCCTTCCTGGTCTCCTGTCCCATGCTCAGACGCCCATCCCATTTCCCATCAGCTTGCTTCTCTCGCTCCCGACCCCAGGGATGCCCTCCCCCTTCACACCTTCTCCCACATCCAGGCCCCAGGGACATCCAGTGGGCACCACTAAACCAGGGTGGCCAACTCCTGAGGCCAGAGGACAGGCCCCGCATGTGCACACGGGTGCGAGGTGCGCTCAGACTTCCAGGAAACCCCTCCTCTCCACCAAGGCTCTTTCAGGAGCTGCTCCAGCCACACCCCAGAACCTGGCGACTTGCCCTCCTCACCCTGCTTCACCCCACAGGCCCCAGTCCACCTCTCTGGGTGTCACCCTAGCTCCCTCATCAGGGTCTCCTGTCCAAGAGGGACTGTCAAGTTCATCTTCTCCAGCAGAGTGGTCCTTGAGACCTCTTACAGCCTGGGGGATGGGGAGGAGGGGAAGGGCTGGGCGTGGGAGCAGTGCTCAGAGAGACCCCAAGGGCCCAGATGGGGTCCTCAGCGCTCACAGAGCCAGCCCCAGTGATGGCCACAGCAGCCTGGCCAGACTCTGAGGGTCAACACCAAGAAGTAGGTGGTAATCGCTGGCACCACGGGCCAGACCCCACAGATGGGAGGATCACAGGATGATTAAACCTAGTCTTTCCCAGGATGCTGAGATGGGAGAGTGGGAGTCCAGAAAGATTAGACATGGGGGGTGTGGGCATTTGCAAACCTAGCCCAGAATCACACAGGGAAGAGGATGCAGAGAAACTTATTTCCCAGAGAGGGTACAGACAGGGAGGTGTGGTCGGGTTGGTGTGGTCACCAGAGGAATCAGAGCAGGAATGCGGACAGCTGCGAGTGCTGGGGATTCTGGCACACCTGAGCCAGGTTGAGCGCTGTCCGCAGACAAAGGAGGGGTGGCCAAGAGCTGGTCACCAGGGAGCCCCACCTCACACTTCGGGGGAACGGTGTGGGCAGGTGGCCGAGGGTGAGGACCAATGAAACACTCAGAGCCTACGTCAGACGAGGGTGAGGCAGGAGCGGCCGAAGACAACCTGGGCCTGGTGGACGTCTGAGGGACGTTTCTGAGATGACTTAATGGATGAACGAGTGAGTTCAATGGGAGTTTAATAGCATCTCTTCCAGAAATGAGGAAAATAAAAGCCCCTGGGCACCTGGGTTCTCTCCCACCCTCTGGTCTCGCTGATGTCCCCCATGGTTAGCTCATGGTCATCACATCCTGCCATGGTCTTCCATCCCAGCCTGAGGTTCAGGGCCCAGGCCGTGAGGAGCCCCACCTGGTTTAAGGAGGGAGACACACACTGCGACCATCAGCAACTCCTCAGAGCCCCCAGGACGTCGGGACCCTGGTTCCTGTTGCACCGTGAAGCCAGAGGATCAGACAAGAACTGGACAACGTGTGTCAGGGTGACAGTGAATTGACCGTGCCTCCTCCCACCTGGTCTGCTTGTTCCCCCCTGCAGCCGACTGAGGACAAGGTACTAGAGGGACTCTTGTGCACAGCCACAAAAAGAAACCCAAACAAAAATCTAGGACCCTCCCTAAACTCCACGTCTCCCCGTGAGAAGACTCCAGTCTAACAAGCAACTTTGATGGGAGGACGAACATCCTAACACACAAACCTGTGATGGGAGTGAGGGTCACAGACACAGAGAGGCAGCTCTCAGGATCTTTAAATGTAGGCGCTGGCCAGAGCAGAACTCTGGACATAGGACCTGAACAGCAGGAAGAGCGCGAGGGAGGCCAAGGCGCAGAGGTGCACGCCCACAGAGCTCAAGGGCACCACCTCCTCTGCTCCCTCCTCCTCAGGGTCCTGCTCCGGCTCCTGGGCATCATCATACTCCTCCTCCAGCACCAGGTCCCGGGGCCCCCCGGGCCCCTCATCCTTCTCCTCCATGGGGATGGCTCCGATGTCCTCATAAACACCTTCTGAGGGCAGACTCCCCGACATTCGGGAACCTGCAAAGGCCACACCAGAACTTTCTACAAGAGACACTCCCGCAGTCTAAGCCTACCCTTGGGCCCCCTGCGGGGCCTCTCATTCAGGCCAGGACCCTCCGACCCTTGGCTCCTCTGCGGCAGTTCCCCACTAAGAGCAGCATCCCCCCATGAGGGGCCACACGCTTCCTGGGCACCCAGGCCAGTGGTCCTGGGTGAGACTTGTTGGTCCCGGCCCCTGAGCACACCCCACAGAGCTCCCCAGCTCCTCAGATGGCAGAGGGATCAGGGATGGGGATCTGGACCCCTGGGAGCCCCCGGACTCTGGGTCTCCTCATTCAACCCATCACAGAGGCAGGGCAGGGCCTGACAACCCATGGCTTCATGGAGAATCATGAGAAGTTGCCATGTGGGGTGTGGGTGGGACCTGGCACATGTGGCAGTGACCAAGACAGAGGGGGCCTGCAATGGGCTGGGGTCTCAGAGCTGCCCCCCTAGCCTCCCCATCCCCAGTGTTAACCTCACTGGCCATGCCCACCTACCCCTGCAGGCTCCTCTTTCACGGCACCACTGCACTCCCAGGAGCAGGGAGACGATCCCCAGGAGGGCGCCCAAGATGAGGCAGAAGATCATGGGCAAGGTCCCAGCCTTGAGGGCAGGTAGAGAGGCCAGGGGAGGGCCTGTAGGGACAGTGAGAGGTGGGGTCTTCCCTGTGTCCCTGCACTGCCTGGGGCATTGTGACCTTGGGCCTGGACCATCTGAGCCTCTCAGGGAGGGGGAGGGGCATCCAGAGGAGAGATGAGCCTTGTACTGCTCCTCCTCCAGAGATGGCCCTGAGGTCACAGGGCTGAGGTCCAGGAGGGAGGGCACAGGAGGGAGGGCCTGGAGGGCCAGGTTCAGGAGGGAGGGGATCAGGAGGAAGGGCCTGGAGGGAGGGGGCCAGGAGGGAGGGAACAGGAGGGAGGATTCAAGAGGGAGGGTACCAGGAGAGAGGGCCTGGAGGGACAGGTTCAGGAGGGAGGGTTCAGAAGGGAAGGTGCAGGAAGGAGGGAACCAGGAGGGAGGGCCTGGAGGGAGGGTTCAGGAGGGAGGGGACCAGGAGGGAGGGCAAAGGAGGGAGGGTTCAGAAGGGAAGGTACAGTAGGGAGGGGACTAGGAGGGAGGGCACAGGAGGGAGGACCAGGAGGGAGGGAACCAGGAGGGAGGGCACAGGAGAGAGGGTTCTGAAGGGAGGGCCTGGAGGGCAGCTCTTACTGTCCTAACTGCCCACTGCCCTCAGCTGTGTGTGGACACAGAGCCACAGTGTCCAACAGGTCACAGCACACCAGGGCCAAACCCCCCAGGAGACAAGGGAAGAACCCCAGAGAACTGGCTGGGCGGGGCCTGGGCCTCCTGTCCCTCCCCATGGCTCTCCACCCAGGCTGGCACGGGGGAAGGACAGCGGTTTTCCTCCGAAAAGGGGTTGTCTCAGGAATCCTGGTCCTGGTCTTGCTGACCTCGTCCCGCTGGCCTAAGGAAGGGCTGCTGAGGCACAGGCCCACAGGATTCTCCAGGGGGCCCCCGAGGCAGAGCCCACTGCGGGGTCCCTCTGTGTCAAGGCTGAGCAAGAAGGCGTGAGCTGAAGCTTGTCAAAAAGCACACCCACCAGAGGCCGGCGGCAGGACCGTGGTCCCCTTGTCACCTGCAGGAGAAATTGCAAGACCTTGGTGCAAGCAAGGTGAGGCGCCCACGGTCCTGAGCAGCCCAGACCCTCACCCAGACCCTCGGAGCAGAGTCCCAGCCCCGCCCAGCCTGAGCCTGTCGGGTGGTCGACCATCGCCAAGGCAACCTGTGCCCCCGCGTCCAGAGGGACGGACGACAGGGCTGGGTTCCGGAGCACCCAGGATGGGGGATCCTCCAAAGGAACCCTCCGGCACCCCCTTCCCTGGCCCCACAACCGCCTCCGCCTGCCCACTCACTGGAGCAGCGCACGCCCGCGTCCTCCTTGTGCGTGCAGTCTCCGCGTCCCCATCGCTCCGCCGGGCAGCTCCACAGGGTCGCCTCACTGCCCCGGCACCCCACCTCATCCAGCCACACGGGCCCTGAGCCTGGCCCGAAGGCGGCCCCCGCCAGGGCGCCCATGGCCTGGCCACAGCCGAGCTGGCGGCACACGACCTCCGCGTCCGCCAGGTCCCAGGAATCGTCGCACACGGTGCCCCAGGAGCCAGCGTGCCAGAGCTCCACGCGGCCGGAGCAGCCGTCTGAGCCCCCCAGCACGCGCAGCGCGCCCTCCTCTGGAAAGGAGGCTGTGGTCACTGCCAGGCAGGGCTGGGATGGGGAGTGGGCAGGGAGACGCATAGAGGGGTACCTGGGCAACTGTGGGTGGATAAGCAGTTGAGGGTCTCCCCGGAATCCTGTGGCGTTTTCTCTGACGATCCTATTGGATTAAACAGAGGCCAACCCAGTGTAAATGCCCTAAAAAGCTTCAGAATGAAGTTTGTGGATCCCAGGTGACCCCCAGGCCCTGAGCTACGGGTCAGTAGCAGCCCCTGCCGGTGACATGTCAGGACACCTAAGCTGCCTCAAGCCCCCCTCCCCCCACTAGACCACCAGGGCCCCCACCTATGCAGGTGATCCAGACCTCCTCTCCGTGGGCACAGGAGTGTGGGTTCCACGGGGCAGAGGGGCACTGCCACAGCGTGGAGTTTCGCAGACCACGGCACTCAACGTTGTCCACCCAGGAGATGCCCAGGCCTGCAGCCTGGACAGGCCTGTTCTCCAGCCAGCCCTGCTCCCCACAGCCCAGCTGCTTGCAGATGATGGACAGGGAGGTGTCCTTTAGGGCGTTGCTGCACACAGCACCCCACGTCCCGTTGTAGAAGACATCCAGCCACCCCGCACAGTGGTGGGTGCCACCTCGCAGCCGCAGGGCCACTGACTCTGGAAGACACATGCAGTCAGGCCAAGGGAAATCTCTGAAGGAAGAGGCCAAAATGAGGGGGTCCCAGCACCAAGACAAATGCCACTCACGGGCACCTGACCCAGCGAGCCCCCCGACATCGACCTCACATTGATCACGCATCCCCATAACCACCTCCCACCCCGAGGATGCAGGCAGCGAGGATGCAGGAACCAGATTTAATGCTCAGCTGTAACCTCGCAGTCAGCAGGCATCAGCTGATTGTCCACAAATTCATCCTTGGAAATTACTCAAAATACAGAAAAATCCTCTTGCACAAGATGATCTATTTAGCAGTGATTATAAACATTGAGAAATAAAAAAAAACCATGAATTAGGCGAGAGCTCTGTGTCCAGAGACAGCGTTGGTCCTGGCTGGTCAGTACCCAAGGACTGTCATCTTACCCTTGAGCAGTGTAACTCCAACAGCAGGGACGTGTTAAGTAGACTCTGACATCGCCACATGATGGGGTGGCGTTAGACAGCCCTTTAAAATTATGTTACAAGGGCCTATAATACATCAAAAAATACCTATACTGGGATAATGGGAGAAAGTTGGATATGAACTGCATCTGAGAGAATCATAACAAATTTAAAATAAGCTTAGAAAAAACACTGGAAGGAAATAGATCCGTGACAGATTATAAAAGTTGCCACAAAGACCTCCTGCCTGTGTCCGTGCCCCTTGTAAAGGGTCTATTTTCCACCCCTTGAATCTGGGCCTCAGGACCTCAGCCAACGAGATGAGTGGGGTGAGTGCCCCGCCCGTGCCTGGGCCTCAGGGAGCCTTGCCTGCCTCTGCTCTCACTTTTCCAACAAGAAGCTGCCAGGCTGACCCGTAAGAGAAACGGAGGCTCCTGCCCTTCCCAGCAGCCGGTCCCCACAGCAGAGTCCCGCCAGCCAGCGAGTGACCACAGCGGCCTGAGGAGCCCATGGGACAGCGAAGGAAGGACTTCAAGGACAGCGCGGCAGGTTAAAATGTGCATCCAGGAACATAAAGACCAGAACGGACAGAAAAGCAAGTCAGTGATGTGGACCACACCTGAGACTCTCTGGAATGTATGAGAGCAAGAAAAAGAAGAAAAGGATGGGAAGATCCAAAATAATGAGCCTTTACTTAAGAAACACGAAGACTGAAACAGATGCAATCGTCTAAGACGTGGTTGAAGAAACCTTTCCTACAGCAAAAATAAGAACCCACATCAGTAAGAAGAGACCACAAGCGGATGCCAAACCCGCTGGGAGAGGCAGTTCCCCTAGGACCTCACAGGCTCACACACCAATAAATGATGAAATCTGCCCCTCCAGAATAACCACATCTAGACAGACCAACATGAAGAGCCTCAGATACGTATGAGCTAAAAAACAGACCAAAAAATCCGTCATACACCGCCCTAAAAATACTCTGGGCAAAGTTCTCCAGCATACTAAAACATGGATCAAAATTAAGAATTCAAGACAGGGGGCCAGCCCTGTGGCCTAGTGGTTAAGTTTGGCACCCTGTTTCGGCGGCCTGGGTTTGGTTCTGGGCACGGACCCACAACACTGTCGTGGGCCATGCTGTGGCGGTGACCCACATACACAATAGAGGAAGACTGGCACAGATGTTAGCTCAGCGCGAATCTTCTTCAGGAAAAAAAAAAAAAAGAATTCCAGACAGGAGAACTTCAGGCACAAATGTGAGATGACCTTGCGAGCAGGGGAGAAAGACCCCACGCACAGCTGGTCCAGGAGCAGGAGCACTATCTGAGCAGACCTGAGTCCCCCCAAGGCCCCCGGAGGGTGCCCCCAGAGTCCTCCTCCCCCCCACCCCGCCCCACAGTGCACAAACCAAAGATCTCTGCAAGAGAACCTCGATCACCGCAGGAAGAGGACCCTGATACAATACAGCAGGGAGGTTCTGCACCAGGAAGAAAAGAGTCCCTGGAGACAGCGGAACGCGTGGAAAGAAGTGTGCGTTGTTCTGCACTAAGACAGCGCGACCATCCGATACCCAACCACCCCACGAAGGAACTCAGTCAACAGGACCGACCTGAGCAGAAGACGCCGGCGTCCTCCTTGTGCCCGCAGTCGTGCCGGCCCCAGGCCTTCGACAGGCATTGCCATAGCGCAGCCTCGTGGCCCCCGCAGCCCAGCTCGTCCATCCAGATGCGCCCGGCCCCGGGCCCGAAGTGCGCGGCTCCGGGGGCGCTGAGGGCGGGGCCGCAGCCCAGCTGCCGGCAGACCACGTGGGCGTCCCGCAGGTCCCAGCCGTCGTCACACACGGTGCCCCACACGCCCCCGTGGAGCACCTCCACGCGCCCCGCACAGCGGCCCGGCCCCGCGGCCAGCCGCACCCGGAGGCTCCCTGCAGAGAGACTGAGTCAGGGCAGCCGGGCCCGCGGGGCGTTGGGGCGGCAGCTGGGGCCTCACTCACCGGAGCACACGACGCCCGCGTCCCGCGAGGCCCCTGCAGGCACCAGCAGGGACTCGGACACGTTGCACTGGGTCAGGCGCGTCTCGGTGCCCAGACAGCGCGCTCGGCTCAGCCCCACCGGGACGACCTCGCGCGGAGGTGCAGGCGCGTCGTAGGCTCGCTCGGCCTCTCCGCACCCCAGCTGCCGGCACACCACGCCGGCGCCGTGCAGGTCCCACGCGCTGTCCAGGACGCGGCCCCACACCCCGTCCAGGGACACCTCCACGCGGCCATCACACCGGCTCTGTCCCTCCCTCAGCCGCACGGCGCTGGGGAGACCTGGGGAGGGAGGCGGTGCGTGGGAGGGGCCAGCATGGTGTCGGGGGAGGGTCCCTAGGCCTGTAACGGGGAGAGGACCACCATCTCCCTGCAGAGCCCACTCTGCTCTCAGCCTCCCTCTGTCCAGCGCTCTTGCTGACGCACCTGAGCAGACCACGGCGGCTGCGTTTCCCAGGGCACACGCCCGGGCCCCCAGAGTGCTAACTGGGCAATTCCACAAGTAGGGCTCTGTCCCCACGCAGTGAAACACGTCGGGCCAGATGGGAGCGTCCCCATCCCCAAAATGGCCTCCTTGGGGAGTGGCCACCGCATTGCCACAGTTGAGCTGGTGACAGAGGACGGTGGCGTCTGGCAAGTCCCAGTGGGCGGCACAGAGGGGCTTCCAGGCCCCCTGAACCTGGAGCTCCAAGCGCCCCTCACAGCTGCTGCTGCCGTTGACCAGCCGGAACTCTGAGGAGAGCAGGGCAGTCAGCATCCCCCTGGCCTGCAGGCCCAGCAGGGGGCAATTCCTTTCTTTTGTATGCAGTGTGGTGGCCACAGAGATGTGCCCTTGCTCCCACCAGCTCCCCACCCACCTCAGCCTCAGCGTCCACCTCATATATGTCTGCAGAGGAGCCCACGCTCCCATGGTGCTTGGGGAGCACATCCCTCTATGACCAGAACTCTTGCCTCCCTCTCCTCCCCTTCCCTCAACCAGCAGAAACAACTTTCTCCTCTGGGAACTTGCATACCCTCTTGGCTGGAGGAACCTTTATCAGTTGGGCTTAGAGCCCCCAGGGGTAGTCATGGAGGGAAGGAGGCAGGGCTGAGCACAGAGTCCACCCTCCTGGCCTCACCTGAGCACCTGAGTCCTGCGTCCTGGCCATGCCCACACTGGTGCCCGGGGCCCCGAGGGCAGTGGAACAGCAAGGACTCGTTGCCTGCACAGCGGAAGGCCTCCGTCCACATGAGCCCAGAGCCACGGCCAAAGTGGGTGCCGCTGGGCGTGGACACGGCCATGCCGCACTGCAGCTCTCGGCACACCACGTGGGCCGTGGCCTGGTCCAAGTCGGAGTCGCAGACAGTGCCCCAGGTCAGGCCGTGCCTCACCTCCAGGCGCCCGGCACAGGGGTGCTCGCCGCCCACCAGCCGGGCCTCAATGTGTCCTGGGAACAGACAAACTCTCAGTTAGGGACAGGTGTTCTTGGGTGAACAGCTCAGCCTGGAACCACTGCCCTGGACCACAGGAGGCTCCCACCGGGCGGGATCATCTGCATCCAGGCAGTGGGTCTGCCAAGCACTGGGCAGGAACTGATGGTCAGAGGCCCCCCCGGCACCAGAACAGAGCAGGGGTCCCTGGTCACATCCCCAAGGGCAGAGGTCAGGGTCACCTGCAGCAGGTGCCACGTGTGTCACACAGCCTCTGCCTGCCCAGGGTGATGGCTCCAAAGCTCTGTGTAGTGTCAGAGGGGAGGTCAAGGCACCCTCGGGCCACAGAGCACTGCCCTCCTGGGGGCACCAAGGAGGGTGGACTGTCCACCTCATTTTAGCCTGTGCCGATTCCCAGAGCATAGCCAGGATCTGTGAGGGCTGGTGCACTCTCACACACTTGAGACAGTGCTGGGAGGGCGTGACTGTGTGTTGGACACACAACAACCACAGCCAGAACACAGCAGACGCTGCCAGGACAGCCAGGACCCCAACCAGCCTTGGGGCTCTGAGCAGGGACACCTCTGCCCGGACTCCAGAAACCCAGGTGCATGCCGCAGGGATGTGCACACGGACCTGGGCACACCTGGAGCCCGCCCAGTGCAGCACCCGCTGAGCATCCGAGAGAGCACTTCCTCTGCTCCCACCTCTAGGTCTCAGAGCAGCTCTGAGCGCGAGTATCAGATTTCCAAAGAAGAGCTCTTTCCTCACCTTCCCAGCCTGCTCTTCTTTCCTAAAACAGAGAGCTGCCCAGCTGTGAGAGCGGAGGCTTTTCCCTCTGGCCACTCCCAGATGGTCTGGCGCAATGCCCCAGGCAGGCCTGGCCTGTGGGACGGCTCACCTGCGCAGACCACCTCCGCGTCTTGCTGGAAGTCGCAGCCGCTGCGGAGGTTGTTGTTGAGCCTGCAGTTCCGGATCGTCTTCTCAGTGCCCCTGCACGTCATGTACTTCCCGACGACGCCCACACCTTCGCGGGAGGCCTGGAGCGCGGGGCCACACTTCAGCTCCTGGCAGAACACTGTGGCCTCCTCCTCGTGCAGGCCACAGAGGCGATCCACCCCGTTCACGTTCCTGATCTCGGGGAGTCCTGCGCAGGGGCTGCGGCCCTTCACCAGCCGGATCTCCCGAAAAGTGCCGTCTGCGAAGCAAGGCCCGGTTACAGAAGGTGCGGATCCTGCTGTCCACGTGCTTACTTGGAGCCTGTTTCCATCTGGGTGTGGCAGGCCCCCCGGGCACTCCATCCTGGGCCTGAGGGCCTGCCAGGGGTCACAGCCTGAGACTGGCCCTTCTTCAAGGGGCTCAGTGCTGGGCTGAGCAGGGGGGCCTATCTGGCCAGGCTGTCACAAAGGGTCCCCCACTCAGAAGGGCCGGTGCCTGGTTTAATGCTCTGCTGTCACTCTCTTGAAAATCTTAACTGTTTTTGAGCAAGAGCCTCAGGAACCATGCAGTGTGTCAGCTTCAGAGAGAGGATGCGATGAGGGGCCTCACAAGCTCTCTGCCACATAAAGTGCCCAGAGACAGCGGAAGACCCTCAAGACAGACCTCAAAGGCAAAGCTCTTGCCTCCCGGTCGTCTGTGTAAGAAGTCGTGATTAGATACTGCTAGGCGCCTCAGGCCCCCTCAAGTGTCTAGAAGACAGGGCATCCCTGACCCCCCACCCCCAGACCCC